TTCTTTGTTTTAAAATGCTCTATTACAAACATCTTTCTCTGTAAGTACCTCCAGGATTAGTCCTGAAAGAAACAGGAGGTAGAATTTTGATGTCCCAATTAGTGTCATAGTTACAAATGGATAACTACATTTCAAAATAATAGGTTTACATCTACAACCCATAAAAATAACTAATGATTTGAAAAATCATAGCATAAGACACTTAATATGAATTATTTACATGCGGTTGATTATCTTAAAATTAGGAATATTTTGGGCTGAGGTTGTGGCTCAGTAGTAGAGGTCTTGATAGCATGTGTGAGGAACGGGGTTTGATCCTCAGCACCACATAAAAATAAATAAATAAAATAAAGGTACTGTGTCCATTTATAACTAAAAGTGTTTTTTTTAAAGAAGCTTAAAAAATTAAGAACATTCAGAGAATATTTTCTTGACTAGTACCTCTTCTCTGTTCTATTGTCAACAAAACACTATGATAATGTATATGTAAAATATCAGTCCCACCAGGAGGGGAAATGAAGGGGAAGTTCTAAGGAGTGAAGTCAACCAAATTATATTGTTATATTGTGTACACGTACAAGAATGTAAAAAAAATCCACTATTAAGTATAATTATTATACACCGCTAAAAATAAACACACACACATATCCCAGTGGTATTGTAATAATGTTATTTAATTAGTGATAAAAAAAAATCATTGTATTTTGGGGGCAATAAAAATACAGCAACTAAAAAGTTTTACTATTTTTGTCTTCTACCATCCCAATGTTTTATCTAAATGCATTTTTGTAACAGCTTTACTGGAATATAATTTGCATACCAAACAATTCACCCATTTAATGTACACAATGTAATAGTTTTAACTATATCTTGAGTTGTGTGTGCAACCATCATACAAATCAGGGTTAGATCATTTCATCAGCCCAAAAGGAAACCCCATACTCACTAGAAGTTACCCTCCATTCCCCCTTCTGCTGTCCTGACAATTGCCAATCTACTTTCTGTCTTTTTATTTATTTGCCTATTTTGGACAATTCATAGAAATGGAGTCATACAATATTTGTCCTTTTAGTCCGGCTTTTTTTATGGGTGATCTTGCCAAAGTTCATCCATGTTGTAGCATCCATCAGTACTTTGCCTTTTTGTTGGTGAATAACATTCCACTAAAGGACTGATCATGTTTTGTTTATTCGTTCATCAGCTGATGAATATTTGAGCTGTTTCTGTTTTCATGAATAACAATGTGGATATCTGTGGCCAGATGCTTTCACTTCTCTGAGAATATGCCAAGGAATGGAATTTCTGGGTTTTTATGTTTCATCTTTGAGGAACTACCAAATTGTTTTCCAAAGGGGCTATCCCATTTTACATCACCACCAATAGTGTGAGAAAATTCTAATTTCTCCACATTCTCACCAACACTTGTTACTATCTGACGTTTTTATTATGACCCAACCTGGGGGCAGGGATCCAAATGCATTCCTAGATGCAAAAACATAGGAATTAATTGGACAAGGAAGCAAAATCTTTTAAGACAAGGGAAAAGCACAAAGAGAATTAGGAAAAGGGTCCTGTAGTCAAGATGGAAAGGAAAGCAGCAGATGTTAGATGTGTTATTCTTATGCAATGAACTGCAGAAAAGTGTGAGCATCATGCAGCCAGCCTCCAACTTCCCATCGGGAGCAGATAATATTCACAACAACACTCTTCTGGGTCTACTGACTTATTTTACAGGGAGCCTTCCCATGTCGTACCCCATCTGATCCACCACCACAAATCTTATGTGGGAGGATAGTATTCCAATCTGCAAGGGTGTAAGGGCTGCAAAGATTCACTGAATTGCCCCAGGGACCAGAGCTACAAAACTAAAGAGAAAGGAAAAGGAAGTGAACAGAATTGAGTTTGGAAGCCTAACTTTTTATCTCACATCTCAGTCGATGGCTTCCTCTTTCCTCATGATCCCAACCTTATCACTGATGGCCCAGAAACCAATGCAAAGGCAAGAGAAGGCAGAGGCGAACCCAGGGTATGTGTGAAACAATTAAAGGCCAGAGGCCTGGTCATCACAAAGTGGCCACAATCATACAGTTAAGCGAGCAAGCTGGGGACAGAAGAACACATTGTGACAATAGCAAAAAGATGACCAAGTTTCCACCCTCCAGTAATCAGGAAGCCAGGCATACAGCCACGCTGATCCCTAAGTGTTAATTAAATATCATATTAAGCTGTACTAATAGAAGTATACTGGATTACATAGAACACTCATCCAAACATTTATTAAGAAATTACTATGTGTTAGTCACAGTAATAAAATGACTGAAATAACAAATAAAATGATTAAAATTTTCCAAAGTAAAATTAAATGACTAACATTTACTAAAACTTTTACATGTAGCATCTCACTTCATGCTCCCAAAACTCCTGAGGGAGGACTGTCACCAGACTTTCCTTTCTAACTTGGATGTGTTGGTGCACATCTGTAATCCCAGCTACTGGGGAGGCTGAGGCAGAAGAATTACAAATTTAAGGCCAGCCTGGGCAAATTATCAAGACCCTATCTCGAAACAAAATAAAAAGGGCTAGGATAGAGCTCAGTGGTAGAGTGTTTACCTAACTTGTTTGAGGTCCTGGTTTCCACCCCCAGTACCAATAAAATAAGAAAATTTAAATCTAAGAATCTTTCATGTATGTTTTTTATTTCATATATATGTCATATACTTCTATCATATATGTTCATATAGAGTAATGACCAGTGTAATTACACATCACATGCAACCAGAGGAATGAGAAGTTTTATTCCATATATGTATAATGTCAAAATTCACTCTACTGTCATTTATAAAAAATGATTTAAAAGGAATTGAAAAATTTTGAAATCAATTAAAATATTGAAAGTCTTAATTAAAAGAATCTCTTTTCCATAGAGGAGAGGCAAGAGAGGTTAAAAGTAAATTGTCCCAAAGTCACAAAAATTAATAAATGGTGGAGACAGAACAAGAACCCAGGCAGCCTGGGTCTGTAACATATGCTCATAACAGCTCTAGTCCTTCCTGCCAGGTTTTATGTAACTGGAAGTGACATGTGGTGTTACAGGAAGCTCAGGGCCAATTCTCAGGAGCCTCTCATAAAATACTCTTATCTCTGTTGCCATCTTACCGATGAGGAAACAGAGGCTCAGAGAAATGAATGAATTAATTACAATAGCTAATGCTGATATGATACTTACATATCATGCTCTGTTTTAAGCACTAATGCATCTAGTCTTCATAACAACCTACAAGGTAAATTTCATTATTATCATCATTCTAAATTAAATAACTTGTCCAAGGTCCTACACTAGTTGAGGGCTAACATGGCCAGGATTCACTCCAACTCAAAGGCCTCCTCAAAACAAACCTAATGATGACCCTTGGAATGAGTGGTGGAGCAGAAATTCAAACTCAGTTCTAACTCCTGAGTGACAACCTTCTATCTTTTCACTCACTTGCCCATAGATGACCCTCAAATCTGCTGCAGGGTGGAGAGGAGCCAGGGAAGAGGGGAGTACAAATGCTCTGGAGACCCATAAGAAAGGGCATTTAAGCTGCACTCTGAAGGACAAAGAGCTTGCTGGACAAAGGGAGTTACTACACAACCTAGTATTTGTAAAAGAAATAAAAAGCAAGTAACCTTATCCAAGGGAGAACTCTAAAAAAGACAATATAGTAATGAAAAACAAAGAAATCAAACTATTAAAAACAAAGTGTTTCAGATTATTTCAGAAGAGCTTTACTTCAAATCTTAGAAAACATTCTTGAAGGGAAACAAGTTTTTAGTCCCTTTACTTTTGACTATACATTCAAAAAATTCAACAAGGTATATAAATGTGCAATTTGTCTTTTGTAACACGAATTCTGACATCCAAAATTTACTTCCTCAAACTAAGTGCTGCAAGCTGGTGTCTACCAAACCTTCAGGAATGTTTGCAAGATTCTCCATCAGGTCCTGAAACAGTCATCTAGAAACCAAAATGAGCTGGGAAATTCAAACCAAGACCTAAAAGGAACCAGGGCCCACGTAGTTCTGGTGGGGCCAGGGGCCCATGTGCAAGTCGAGGCTGAAACACTGCAAAGATGGATTATTTTTTCCTGGCAAACTGATTTATGACCACACGAAGGGCAGCTGCAGAACCAGTCTGACCATAACTACAATCCTCAAACACAGAACAGGAAGTGATGGAAACAGCAGGAGGACCCTGAAGACTATCGCTCATTTCTGGGTGTTGTGAGACCTAACAAATTCTAATTCTTGCTGCAGACTTGGGGCGATCAATGGAGTCCATGGCCCAAAACGTGACCTCTGGGAAAGTTGGCACAGCAGAAGGGCACTAGACAAGGTGCCTCCACGCCCCCTGGCGGACTCAAAGGATAATTATGATGTGCCAATTAAAGGATAGATAGGTTCAGGGTTTCTGAAAAATTCTCTGTTTAGTTTCCACAGCAACCCTTAAAAGGAGGCATGGACTCCGTTTTACAGATGAGGAATAAGGTATGACTTGCCAACAGACACAAAAAAGGAAAACAACAGAAGCAATCACTGGGCTGACTTCTAGGAGTACAGGGGCTGGGGTTAGCTCGGACCACACAGCGACCCTCGGTTCTCCAGGCGGACAAGGTGCAGGCTATCAGCAGGGAGCATTGGCAGCGCCCAAGTACCTCGGAGGAGGGAGCGCGCGGCGGGTGGTAGCGACTCATCCCGGCGCAGGGCTGCAGCAACCAGGCTAGGGCGCAGCGCGCACCACCCGCTCGCCTGTGCCTGCCCGGACAGCCTCGCACGCTGTGCGTGTCCAGCCGCTGCAGCAGCAAGGCGCGGCGCAGCGTGGACTGTCAACGCGTCTGCACCTGTCCCAGAGCCCGGAGAGACTCGCAAGCCACCACACACGGCGCGCGTGCGCGCAGGACTGCAGCGGGCACGGGCTGGCAGTGCCACAGCAAGCCCACCCTCTCTGTCTCTGGTCTTACCGTAACTGTTCTCCAGTGACCAGGACTTCAGCCATGCGCTCCAGCTCCCTTTGCTGCGCCCCGCCACTCCCGCTAGTGCTACTGTCGCTGCCACCGCCGCCAGTGCTGCCGCCCTCCTCCATGGTCCGGGCCACACCGCTACCACTGCCTGGGCTAACCGCCTGGGATTCTGCTGTTCGAATCAGTCTGCCCTCACCGAGGCTTCTCCCGCCATCTTTGTTCGGGGCAGTCCCAATGCTCTGACGAGATTGGTTAGGGAGGGAATCCCTGTGAGTTAGCGGAGGCACTAGGCGAGTCCGGCCCCAGAAACTTCAGCTTGGGGGCGTGGCTGGAGTCCCTCGTGGCTGGGGGCGGGGCCGAGGGAGGAAAATATCAACATCTGAGCTGGGCACAGGCTCAGGGCTGTGTGTGCTGGCTGTGGATGAATTCCCGGGACTTTCCTTCCTTTACCCTGCAAAGCTCTTGCTATGAAAGCCTGCGTTTTTATTATATTGCCCATGTCCAAATTGCAGAAAATGAATGAGAACAGTACACCCAGTAGTGCACAAGAGAGGATATACATGTCACTGCAGGACATGGAAAAAAAATTGGGATGAGGGGTGATACCGAGGATTGAACTCAGAGGCACTCGACCACTGAGCCTCATCCCCAACCCTACTTTGTATTTTATTTCGAGACAGGATCTCACTGAGTTGCTTAGCGCCTCACTTTTGCTGAGGCTGGCTTTGAACTCGCAATTCTCCTGTCTCAGCCTCCCGGAGTAGCAGGTATTACAAGCCTTCGCAACCGCGAGGCATGGAAAAATTAAGCATTCCTTCCACCCGGACCACTCTCACCGAAGACAACTTACATAACTTGACGGTGTGATCAATACTTAACGCTGGCCTGAAATTAAACAGATCTGGGATCGAGCTCCACAACTATCTTGAGAGACATAATTTTTCAGTTGCAGGTATGGAGTGGAAGTTTACAGACTAGCACATGGGTAGCGTGGGTTCAATCTCCAGCACCGCCAACAAAAAAGGAGAAGCAGGGAGACATTGTTTACAGAATGAATTTGAGAGGAAAGTTGAAAACCAACTTCTACATATACATGTTTATACGTACATGCGCGCGCGCACACACACACACACACATACAATCAATTCTGCTATTTCAAAGTATTTATATTTACTCTTCTATAAGTGTATTGTATTTTATTTTCGGGGAGGGCATGTTTGTTTGATCATGTCCTTTTCTTTTTTGGTATTGGGGATTGAACCCAGGGGTGCTTAACCACTAAGCTAACTCACCATCCCTTTTTAATTTTAATTTTGAGTCAGAGTCTAACTAAGTTACTGAGGGTCTCTTTATAAGTTGCTGAGGCTGCCCTCTAAGTTGGCCTCGAGTCTGTTGGGATTACAGGCATCTGCCACCTCACTCAGCACGTTTTGTTTTTGTTTTTTTTTTTTAAAGGAAGATCATACAAGTCTTTGCCAAACTGCTGCAATGTTAGTGTTGACATTAACTGAAACTTGCAACAACTCATTAAGCATTCATCATGTGTTTTATATACCACAGGCACCTTGTTTATATTGTTTAATTTATCCTCAAAATCCTAAGAGTTAAATATTGATTTCAATTTACAACTAACAAAGCTTAATCACAGGATTGGGAATGTGACTCAGTGGTATAGTATTTGCCTGCCATGCATGAGACCCTGGATTTGAATCTCCAGCACCAAAAGAAAAATATGCATAAGCACAGACAGGTAAAGCTTATCTAAAGTTTTTTATATAGAAGGTTAGGCAGCCTTTGAACCCTAATTCTGCTGACTCCCAAGGCCGTGCTCAGCCAGACTCCAGGATAACACTCTCTCTCTCATATCCAACACTAAATATCAGGCAACTCTTTTGCTCAAAGAAATTCTCTAAGTTTCTTAAGTTTCTAAGTACATCATGGTGGAAATGTAGACCCAGGGAGTCATAGTTTCAGTTACATGTGATTTTAAGAGCCTCATTCTGTTCTCTGATTTAAGGATGCTGATTCATAATGTGGTTATGGGGGCATGGGAGGATTAGATGAACTCTAGATAGGGCAAAGGAGAAAAGCGGAGGTGGGGGAGGGGAAGGGAAGGGACATGAGGGTAGGAAAGATGGTGGAATGAGATGGACATCATTACACTAAGTACATGTATGAAGACCTGAATGATGTGATTCTACTTTGTGTACAACCAGAGATATGAAAAATTGTGCTCTATATGTGTAATATGAATTATAATGCATTCGTTATACATAACAAATTTAAATAAATAAGAGCCTCATTCTGCATAAAGCATAAAAATCATTTAACAGAAATAGTTAATGCTTTAATTCAGTAATTATTTATAGAATATCAAGAATTTGCTTGGGGTCTGGATTTATATCTCAGCAATAGAGCATATGCCTAGTATTCAGGAGGCCCTGTGTTTAATTCCCAGTGCTAAAAATGACAACATCAAGCAAATAGTTTTTTTGGGATTCTCACTCAAATGCTGAGTTTCTATCCTGATTCTGTCATTTATAACTTTGTAATCTTTGCTAGTCACTTAACTTTTGGGGGCTTCAATTTCCTATTGACAAAACAGGAATAGTAATTTCTCCCTTATAGGGCTGTTATGTGCTGTTTTAGTCAGCTTTTTCATTGCTGTCATCAAAAGACCCAATAACAAGAGCAATTTTAGAGGAAGAAAAGTTTATTTGGGGGCAGTTTCAAAGATCTCCATCCACAGATGGACAACTCTATTGCTCTATGACTGAAATGAGGCAAAACATCATGGGGGATGAGTGTTGAGGAGGAAAGCAGCTCAGGACATGGCACCAGGAGGCAGAAAGAGAGACAGCTTCCCTTACCACTGACACAATATAAACCTCCAGGGTTTATATAGTCTCCTCCAGGGACATCCTTCCTGCCTATAGTCACTACCAGGTAATCCCTATCCGAGGATTAACACACTGATTAGGTGTAGATTATCATAGTCTAATCATTTTACCTTTAAACTTTCTTTCATTTTCTTACACCTAAGCTTTGGGGGGACACCCCATATCTAACCTATAACACGTGGCTTAAATGAATAGCATTATATAAAATTTCCATTATTTAAAATTTTAAAGATTCATTTCAGTGACCAAATTTTTTTAAGTTAAAAAAGAAGTATCTTAAGCCCGCCACAGTGGCACACATCTGTAATTCCAGCAACTCAGGAGAGTAAGGCAGGAGGTTTGCAAGTTAAAGCCCAACCTCAGTAACTTACAGAGACCCAGTCTCAAAAGAAACTAAAAACTAAAAAGGGTTGGGGAAAGGTAGCTCAGTGCTTGTCTAGTACGCGTGAACCTTGGGTTCCATCCTTAGGCTGCTCCTTCTGAAAAGTGCCTTAACATATGGGAGGAAAAATTGAGTCGGGAAAATGAGCAGGAGAGAGTATGATAATTAATTTTTCTTACTTGACAAGATAGTTGTTGTTGTTGTGTGTAGATGGTTGTAGATGTTTATAGGAAATGAGAATTGCTCTGCTGCTATTGTTTTAACCTTTCATTGATACATGAGATGCAACATGCCTAACTGGGTAAGGAGAAAAACTCTTTTCCCTAATTTAGGGGAAAATTGATGAACTGACTCCTGAGGACTTGTTAGCACCAATGCCTGTGACCGGGAGTCCTGGAGCAAGTGGTCCCAGAGTCAGCTGTGACCTATGAGTATTGATGGAAGAGAGAAGGACACCAATGTGACAATTACTCTAGCATGAAGATTCTGGAAGAGCTAAATTCTGACAGATCTGAGTTTGATTCTTGGCTCTATTTGGGCAAGTTCATCATCTTCTCTGAATTTTCTGTCCTCTTATGTAAAGATTATACCACCAGTCCCATTGTATTATTGGGAGGATTAAATGAAATTTAATAACTGATTTTATTAAAGTTAGATAGCCCCCCCCCCCAGTGCTGGGGATTGAAATCCAGAACCTCATGCATGCTAGGTAAGTACTCTGTCACTGAGCCACATCCCCAGCCCTAGGTGGACATTACTAAATGTGAGTTTTCCAGGTCTCCTCGCCTCTTTCATGCTTTCTGTATGTTTTGGTGCTTTGGGGCTAGTGTTTCTCAAAAATTTGATGGTGATGGTAGTGTGTGGGTGTGTGATGTATTTGTGTTTTCAGCCCTTTGAAGCCTGATACTTTGATGAAATATAATAAAATGAGATTTAAAAAAATATATATCTATAAAGCAAAATCCCAAATTCTGTAGAGATCAATAAATGGAAATATTCTGTCAAATTGCTCTACACATTTCTTTTGGCTGGGTGGGGAGAAGGTTTACTGGGGGGTTGACCCCAGTGGTAGTTTACCACTGAGCTACATCTCTAGCCCTTTGTACTTTTTATTTTGAGACAGGGTTTTGCTAAGTTGCTTAGGACCTCTGTAACTTGCAAAAGTTGGCCTCAAACTTGTGAATCTCCTGCCTCAGCTTCCCAAGTAGCCGGGATTACAGGCGTGCACCACCACACCCAGCTTGCTCTACACATTTCTAATTGATTTTTCAATGTTGTTATGTCTGGTTGTTTTTCACCACAAGTAATGGCCACCAGTTGATTGACTATGCTCTGAGTGGTACTGGTGTACTAAACTTTTCCTAAAGGCGAGTGGCAGTGTGAGGGGATGGGCTTAAATTTATAAAATAAGCAAAAGAATAGGGCCACCTATGAAGTTTCATAATAGACTAGTTGTCATGAGTATTGCTGATGGCTCTTAATATACATCTGTTTTATTCTGGCCTGATCTTATAGACTAACTCAGATGCCTCCATCTCTATGTGATCTTCCTGGACTTTCCCAAGCAGTGTGTTGCACCTTCCTATGAATTTACATCTTCTTACAGATTTAAGACTATTCTTAACCATTAGTGGAAATCCCAATTCTTTAGCTGCTATAATTTTTATTCTTCTTGTGAATGGAAGAAAACTGATTTGGCAGTATTCTATCCAGATACTTCCATTGCTAGGTCTGTTAGGAGAATTGTCTTAAAAATAAATGTAAAGATAGTAAAAATATAAAATTCCCTCACCTTCATTATTCACAACACATTAAATTAATTAATTGATTAATTTTGGTTCAAAAGATTGAACCCAGGGGTGCCTAACTACCAAGCCACATCCTCAACCTTTTCTATTTTGAAACAGGGTCTCACTAAGTTGCCCAGAGTGGCCTTGAACTTGCCATCCTGCTGCCTTAGCC